TTTTTTTTTGTAAATGAAAAAAATACCTCATCACTCTACTACAATTCATTAAGAGGGTCAACAAGCATGTGGAGCGGGGGGTGTAATGTATATAATGTACTTAGATTTTAAGAAAGCCCCTGCACAGGGCTTAATAGGCAGCTGTGGTAACGTAAACGGAACTTAGGTCAAAAAATGAAATTAATAGGTAGCAGATTTAAAACAAAAATCATTCAACACATGTACAGTGTGTGTGTGTGTGTGTGTGTGTGTGTGTGGAGGGCAGGTTGGGCAAGAAGTTACGAGTGTGGGAAGACGCTCAAGGCTGGGGCAGAGGAATGGGCTGAAGACGGTCTGAGAGTGTGGGCTCTGGTGGGGGGACAAAGATGAGTGGTATGGTGTATAGGCTGCCCTGGGAGAGAAGCTTGGAGCCAGGTGAGAAGGCACATGGCTCCAGCATGACCTGGCTGGGAATTGGCACCACTGGCATGTCCTGGCTAGGGTAGGTGGGGGCAGGGAAAGGGGACTTCTCCCCCAGACACAGCAGGTCTGTTCAGGGGATGGACTGGGGATGGGGAGCTCTGTGCTGGGCTGGTGAGCAAAGGCTCCTCTCCCCCAGGCATGGCAGCTCTGAGTTGTGGCTGGTGGGCAGATGCATCTTTTTCTCCAGCAGTAGTAAGTCCACTCAGAAGCTGGTGCACAGACGCACCTCTCTTCTGCCTCCAGCAAGTCTGAGGTTTGAGGAGAAGAATCTCCCTGATGCAGCCCTGACCTCTTACACAGGGCTTAATATGCAGCTGTGCATCCACACAGCTATGGTAACTTAAAGGGAACTCAGGTCATCAAATGAAATTAATAGGTAGCAGATTTAAAATGAACAAAAGGACGTTGATGAAGAATAAGTCCATCTACAGCTATTAGCCAGGAGGGGCAGGGATAGTGTCCCTGGCTTGTAATTACCAGAAACTGGGAATGAGTGACAGCGGATGGATCTCTTGATGTTTAATTGTTGAGTTCGTTCCTTCTGGAGCACTTGGCATTGCCATTGTTGGAAGACATGATGCGGAACTAAACAGGATACTGGTCAGACCCAATATGGCTGTTCATATGTTTTTAAAATTGACATGATGGTCTACTGGCAGCACAATGTACCGCAACATGAGAGATTAAATATAAATCTTCTTCTCTTTGCCCAAAATAGATGGCAGGAGCTGGCAGATGCAGCAAGCTTAAATCACGGGAGATAGAATTGTATCCTTTACCTCTTAAAGCCAAAGTAAGACTTTGAGGAAACACCACCTAGACCTTCTTAGCATAGTGAAAGTTTCTGAGCCTTTGGATTGTTAAGTGTTAAATACAGGACAGGCAAGGTATTATACGTATTGTTACTCTGACATTTAAAATTGTCCACGTGATATATCCTAGGACACTCTATTTTGATAGTTAAAGTTGATCAAAGTGGCTTATACAAAAACAATGTCTCCCCAAACCTATTGCAGATATATCATAAACTTGTACAAGAAAAATCTAATTCCTCCATGCCAAGCAGAAGAATTTTAGTGTCCTCACTGGAGAACTTAAGTATGGTCTGACATAAAGAAGCCCTTAGTGTTAGGTACTCTCTTAAGGTACAGCTGTACTCTAAAAATAACAGAGTAAAAATGGCACCTCCTCTTTCTCAACAGACCTGCTCCCCTGTACATAACCCATCAAAGCTACTCACTTTAGTGGAATAAAGGTTTAACTACTTTTTTCTATAATCACTGCTTTTTTCTATATCACTGTGGGTAGAGGTGGAGTTTTTAAAAAGAAGTGTAAGGCTGTGTCCAGACTCAGGGGTTTTTTCGAAAAAAGTAGCCTTTTTTCGAAAAAAACTTCCCCTGCGTCCAGACTCAAGCCGCGTTCTTTCGAAATTAATTCGAAAGAACGCGGCTTTTCTTTCGATGGCGGTAAACCTCAATTTACGAGGAAGAACGCCTTCTTTCGAAAGTTCCTCTTTCGAAAGAAGGCGTTCTTCAATGTAAATAGGGCTTCTTGAAAGAGAGCATCCAGACTCACTGGATGCTTTCTTTCGAAAAAGCAAGCCGCTTTTTCGAAATTTCTCCGTGCAGTCTAGACGCTCTCTTTCGAAAGAGGCTCTTTCGAAAGATGCTTTCGAAAGAGCCTCTTTCGAAAGAAGCCTGCAGTCTAGACATAGCCTAAGTGATTTACTCATCCAATTCTCACTGAAATTCAATGACGGTTGGACCAGAGATGATTAATTCCTCTTGGCTCCTTTGAAAATCCCATGCAGCTACAGATTAATGGTTAACTAATATTAGAGGTCTCATCAGTTATACCTGTGCAATATTATAGGATTGCACCCGTGTGGCTGAGGGCACAATTTGTAGGCCTACAGAAGAGATATAACTGATATCACAATTAAACCTACAGAATCTTTACTTTTGGCACATCGACAGGAGGGCAAAGTGGGCAGTTGCCCCATGGCCTGGAGATTGAAAGAGAGCTGGGGCTCCTGGCTCCACATGCTGCCACTGCAGCAGCAGCAGCAGCAGCACGGAAGCACAGCTTTGCATGCGCTGCATGCCTCTGAGGACTGGGTGCAGGTGGGGGGTGGAGGGGCCATTACCACAGTGCAATAGGAGCTAAGCGCTGGCTGCCTTGGCCCCTGCCCCTTCTGCCCCTTCCAGGGGCACAGAACCACATCCTTTATACCTTGCCCAGGGGCCTGCAGAAGCCTCCTCCCTGCTTTTGGCAAGAATGAACAAGCCAAAAGAAGGCACAGCTGGGCCTGTCATATCTCTGGCTGAATTTGCTTAGTTGGTAGTTAAAGGGGGGAAACAAATCTCCTTGTAAAGTGAACAGATTTGACTATGGAACCCTGAGCTGCAGTACAGCTGAATGCATTTTCAAGACCAATATTTAATTCCTTTCACATCCAAAATTGCTGACTGTGATGGGATATTTGAGCATGAAAACAATATGGTACAGGGCCCAAAACTGGATCAATTATTATGTTTGGAAACAAGATGTATATAAATTAATTGTGAGAGAGCACACAACACAACTGAGAAGCTTCCTACAAATTATCTGTGTGAAAAATAAAACAATGTTTATTTCCTAGAAATGTATCCAACCTGGCTCCATTGGAGCAGCAGCATGAACATCCATAGTAGAAGCAGGTTCTGATGTGGAAGCTCTCTTCTCAGTGCCATCTTGCTTTTTTCCCCCCTTTTTGCAGTGTTGAAATTGGGTCTGGAAAAGCACAGGAAAGCTATATCAAATATTCTTTAGGGGGTTTATTATATGGTCTTATCAACTTTTCAGTGGACAATAAAAGTGCTGTATGCCATTATGCATTCGTTTTCACTAATGGGCTATCCTATGCCTATTCAGTTACGCTCTCCAGTTTATATAGATACCTTCAGATTGCTATCTATATCTATAGCTATATGGAAAGCAGAAGGTTTTGTGAATGGAGTTTGCTAAATACCAAATCTATTCTTGAATACTTTCCTCAGAGAGGGGACATGTTCCCCACTGAAGTAACAAAATTTAATTTCATGGAAGTCAATGAAGTTGAATCTATTTATGCCACTACGGGTTGAACCTCCCTGGACTGGCACTCTCAAGACCTGAGTGGTCCCAGAGAAGGGAGTTTGCCAGACCAGAAGAAGTCAGGCCCTGGGCTCTCCTAGGGCTCGCCTCCTGGTCACCAGCCCGGCCAGTGCGCTGCCCCCAGCCATTGGTGGAGCTCCATTCCCAGCTTTTGCCCTTCTCCAGTGAGTGGGGCTCCCTGCCCCGGCTCAAATCGGCTCCACTCCTCCGGCAGCAGCATTTCCTTGCCAGCGGCAGCTCCACGCTCCCAGCTACATGGGCTTCCCTGCCCCTGGTCACAGTGGCTCCATGTCCTCGACCACAGGGACTTCCCTGATCCCGACCAGCACAATTCAACTCTCAGCTGGCAGGGTTCCCTGCCTTGCCCTGCTCTGGCTGCCAGCTGGCCTTCCTGCCTCCAGGCCACTGGGCCTCCAGGCTGCCTGTTAACGGAGTTCCACTGGGAACCTCTGTGGTTGAGGCTCTCTGGTCCAGCAACATCCATGATCCTTCCAGACCACGGATGTTGCTGTACCAGAAAGTCCTGGACCACAGAGGTTCCCAGAGGCAGGGAACTCAGCCAACAAGCAGACTGGAGGGCCAGTGGCCTGGGGGCAGGAAGAGAATTTGGCCCATAGACTATAAAGCCTCTTTTTTCTTCCCTGTGTACTAATGGGCCAACTTTGACAATCAGAAGCAGACAAGAAGGTGATTTGCTTTTATAGTGTAACTGCATTTAAGTAAACTTTTTAACATTTAATGTAGCTACAGATGTAAATTACAACCATGACTTAGTATGACCCATTCTTTAATATCTATTGAAGATCAAAGAGTAGTCCCACTGAAATCAATGTAAAATTTGTTCCAAAATGCAATATTCAAGCTCGACTTGTCATGCTTTTCATATTCAGAAGTACAGCCAAAACCAGCATTGTGTTAGCCTCTTTCAGAGAATAGAATTTATCATACTTTTACATTTTGTGTTTTAGAAACTACTAAAGTCATTTGTATGGTATATTCCCTACTTCCAGTCTTATTTTAGAGGGCCTAGGAAACATACAACACTACAATTAAGGATGAATTCCAATTTTCATTCTAATCCCTTTGAAAGTAACTCTCAGCTTTGTAAAACAAGTGACAATGAGGCTGAAATTTTCCAATATTACGGCCAGTGGATTTTTTTTTAATTTGTGCAAAAGTAGTGAGTTATGATTTTGGTGGGGGAGTGCAGGACAGGAGCGAAAAAACAGTGTACACACACTTCCTTATGCAGTTGAATCAAAATAATTATTCCTGTATGAATTTAAAAACACGTCTTAGCTAGAATGTTTAGACTTGATTTATTTTCTAGATGTCATTTGAAATCTCAGGAATAAGCCAAGTTTAAATTCCCAATTTTCTTTAACTGTATCATTAAAAATGTTTGGTTACTCAGAAGTTGAAACAGCCCAAGATGGTAGATGTGCCATAGAAATCAATAAAAAGTCCACTTCATTGTTAAATAGGCAAATTTAAAGCAGTTGAAGTATTTCGAAACTTGCTTTTTTTAATTTGAGAAAAACTGGGTGAGCCTTTTATTACACATTTTTTCAAGCATGCTGTTATCCACATTTCAAACAAGAATTTTGTGCATGGATAAGTCAACTGATGAAATTTCAAACTTTGCTCCTATAGAATAAGACAAGATTAAATAAAACTGGTTAAATAGCACAAAGCATTTATCAAAATTCCAAGTGTTGCTCTAAATTAGTGCAAAGGCGTTCCAAGTTTCATTTCTACCATGTATTGTATTATAAAATTAAAGCAGTGATGAAAACTGAAAACTATCTGCTATGATATATGCTTAAAGGTCAGAATTTTTTTGCTTGAACTCTGCATTTCTGGAATTTTATACAGGCAGTCCCTGAGTTACGCGGATCCGACTTATGTCGGATCCGCACTTATGAACGGGGCTTTCTCGCCCCTGAGCTCGCAGGCAGCGGGACCGCCCAGAGCACAGCGGTCCTGCCACCTCGACCTCCGGGGCGAGAAAAGCTGCTCCGGGTGCCCCAGGTCTGCTGGGGACCGTCTCCAGCAGACCAGGGAGCC